AATTAGATAATTATGGCAATTCTGACTGGAGCATATTACAAGATTCAAAAAGTAAATTAACATAGTTTTTAAGCCTTGTAGGTACATTGATACATATTAGCTGGGCTTACAAACAATGTTTTTGTTGTTCTAACAAAGTATAGGGAGCTCTAGTATCATAGTGCCTAAGGCACTAGACTGCTAACCAGAAGGCTGGCAGTTCAAACCCACCAGCCACTCCCCGGAAGGAAGATGGGGCAATCTATTTCCGTAGTGATACTGCCTCGGAAACCCAAGGAGGGGTCGCTGTGAGTCGGGTCCAACTCAGCGGCACATAACAACAACAACAAAGTATAGGGAAATTTTTATGAAAAATAATAAATTTCTACTGAAACTTTGCATAAATTTTTATAGACCATCATTTCAGTGTCAGCCCCTCTAATTGTGTCACCCAGTGCAGTCTGTACCCCCTGCATGTCATCAGTGATGCCACTGGTTGAGAGAGGTAGTAGATATTAGAAGCTACAGATATGCATACTGATTCTTTAACCAGTGAAAACACTTACTATCGAGTTGATTTCTACTCATGGCAACCCTATTTGCATTAGAGTAGAACTGTGCTCCATAGAGATTTCAAAGGATGATTTTTCTCAGAGTAGATTGTCAGTCCTTTCTTCTGAGGTGGCTCTTGGTAGACTCACACCTCCAACCTTTTGATTAACAGCCAAAGATATTACTTGTTTGTACCACCCTAGGATTCCTTTATGTGAGTGTTAACAAAAATAATTTCTAATACTCTGTCAGTATACAAAGTGATTTTCGTTTGTTTAAGTTATTCAAAACATCATATTTTAAAGTTACAGTAACTTTTTGTATAACTTCAATTTAAAATCAGAGGAGACACATGGATTTATTCCAGGCCTAGAATCTAATGTCACATTTGTTTGGTTGCCAAATAACGTTTTTAAAACTAGAGACATACTGTTCCCATAGCCCTTATATAATTTGGAATGAGTTCCTTCCTAAATGTGGTAAAAAAAAAAACCTTTTTTCACCAAATGCCTGCTTTTAAAGAACATTTAAAATGGCACATATTTGAATGTTTACCTTTAGCCATTGCTCTTCAGTCATATAATTAATACATATTTTATGATAATAATAATAGATAATATTTAATAATATAATTACTATTATTGTAATTATTAATATTTTTGGAATATTTTGAAAAGCCCCAACCCAGAATGGATGCTATCTTATTGCTACTTAGAACACTGCTTCCAATTTTGTGAAGTAAAGAACTCTGTCCCCCACCATGTACAATCATGAAGAAACAATGGGAAATGGAACCTCTAAAAGGTCAAAAAGGAGCCCTGGTGGAATAATGGTTAAGCGCTCAGCTGCTAGTTGAAAGGTCAGCAGTTCAAAACAACCAGCGGCTCTGTGGGAAAAACAAAACTGACAATCTGCTTCCATAAAGATTTCAGCCTAAAGTAGATAATGATACCATCTAGCTTTATAATGGGGAAGTTCTACTCTGTTATATAGGGTTGCTATGGGTTGGAATCAACTCAACGGCACAAAACAACAACAACAACATGATTCCAAAGGGGTGGTTCACCAGTATTTATGCACACATACCACCACTGGATTTGGAATTTTAGGGATGTACAGAGTAATGATATGGAAGAAGGTTGAAAAGATTTAGGTCATCTTTAAAACCATTTTTCCTCCTTTGATGTCATGTGAATTGCTTTTTGCCTTCTTTTGTTCCTCCATTTTCCAGTACCTTTAAAATCCTTTCTACCTGTCCTCTTTTTCTTAAAGAATTAAAGTTACAGAGTGAAGAGGGAATGTTGTGAGACTGTCATAGGTAGGAAAATACTGACTGTTGAATTTAGCAATATGGATTGTGCCAATATATTTTCAAAACAAAGCATTTTGCCTAATTTTGGGATTGTTGTATTCTATCAGGTCAATTCAGATTCATAGCAACCCTATAAGACAGAGTAGAACTGCCCCATAGGATTTCCAGGGCTGTAATCTTTACAGAAGCAGACTACCACATTTTTCTCCCATGGAGTGGCTAGTGAATTCAAACCACTGACCTTTTCTTTTACAGCCGAGCACTTAACCACTGTGCCACCAGGGCTCTTTATTTTGGTATTACTATTTGAGTTATACATGACTGACACAATTTTTTCATACATAAATTGCATGAATATTTGAGGTATTTAAGTCTTAACATTTCTGTCAGTTGTCTAATACGTACTTAAAATAGAAACAAAACTCACTCTGGAGTTGATTCTTACTTATAGCATCCCTACCTCTGGTACCATAGTGGGTAAGACATTTGGCTGCTAACCAGAAAGTCAATGGTTCAAACCCATCAGCTGCTCCACAGGAGGAAGATGAGGCAATCTACTTCTGTAAAGATTTACAGCCTCTACAGAGGGAAGAGGTGACTATGGGGAGGAAATGGGAAGAGAGCTGTTACATTGTGGGGAATTGAAATCAATATCATAAAACAAAATGTGTATGAATTTCTGTATAGAAAATGAATTTGCTCTGTAAACTTTCACCCAAATCACAATAAAAGTTTTAAAAAATTAAAAATAATCCAGGCACATTAATGCTTGGAACTCAAGATGGTGGTGACAGGTTTAGGACACATTTTGGCCAGCTGGAATGCTCCTTAGAAGTGAGGATGGTGAGACTTTGCTTCACATCATTTGGTCACATTGTCAGACTCTGAACCAGGTGGATTGATACAGTGGCTGCAACAATGGCCTCAAGCATAGCAATGATGGTGACGATGACACAGGACCAGGCAGCATTTTGTTCTGTTGTGCTTGAGGTCCATGGTCCAGAGGGGAGAAACTAGAGGACAAGCCTCTTATAGTCAAGTACCATGCCTGCCTTTCACCTGCCCCTGGTGCCAGCACATGGTAGGTGCTCAGTAAACATTTGGTGAATAGATTAAAGAATTCCATCAGCAAACTTTTTTTGTTGGTTACCAGGGATGGGAGGGGAGGGAAAATTCCTATATAGGTTGAAAAAAAATTATGTATGTATATATATATATATATATATGCACACATATATGGAGCTCTGGGAGCTCTGGTAGCATAGTGGCTAAAGGCACTTGACTGCTAACCAGAAGGCTGGCAGTTCAAACCCACCAGCCACTCCTTGGAACGAAGATGGGGCAATCTACTTCTGTAGTGATACCGCCTCGGAAACCCAAGGAGGGGTCGCTATGAGTCGGGTCCCACTCGACGGTATATAACAACAACCACCACAATAATATGGAGCTCTGGTGGCATGGTGCCTAAGACATTTGACTGCTAGCCAGAAAGTTGGCAGTTCAAATTCACCAGCTGCTCTGTGGAAGGAAGATGGGGCAATCTACTTTTGTAAAGATTTACGGCTTCAGAAACCCAATGGGGTTGCTATAAGTCAGACTCAACTTAATGGCAATGAGTTTTGTTTCTATATATTTATATAGAGAGAAACCAAAGATTATTAGTGGGGTATGAGGGAGGAAGAAAGGGAAGCTTTTGTTTGTGGGGGATTGAGTTTATGCTAATGGTGGTGGAATATTTTGGAAAAGGATAGCAATAATGGTGACACAACATGAAAAATGTCATCAATGTCCCTGAACCATAAATGTGGAAGTTGTTATATTGGTGAATGTCTTGCTGTGTATGTTTTCACCACAATAAAAGGAAAAAAAAAAAAGATCTGCAGCCTTGGAAACCCAGTGAGGTTTGCTGTGGTACAGAATCAACTCAATGGCACAGTGTGTCTGTTCTTTTTTTTTTTTTTTTCTTTAAATTAAGACAATTTATACAGCATATCTAAAATAGTTTTTAAAGTGATTATTTTATATAGGTCAATAGTAAAGCAAATCAAAGCTTGTTAGGAATGAACCAGATTGTCCTACTTAAGAATCAGAAGTTGCAAAAAATGTAGTCATTGGGTTAATATGAACAATAAATTTATGATAGTTTTCTATGATAGATCATGACTAGAATATTCAAAAGTTATAGATCATAATTACCACTGCTGACTGCTCTAAAAGGGATCACAATGGAGGTCCCAGAGAGAGTGGAAGAAAAATGTGAAACAAAGTTCAAAATTATGAAAAAGAGACCAGGTTTACTGGTCTGATGGAGACTGGTGGAACCCCCAAGATTATGGTCCTTACACACCCTTCAAGCCTAGAAATGAAGTCACACTCATGGCTCAGTTTTCAGCCATATAATAGGCCTACAAGGTGAATGTTAATACCAGGGTGGTACACAGTCATTAGAACACTCAAACATAAGAGATGAAAAGGGCAGCATTTTCCCAGGAATAAAGCTAAGAAGGCAGGAAGAGATAAGAAGGAAGGATTCAGGGAAATGGTAAACACAGGGAAGAAGTGGGAAGAGTGCTGTTATATTGTGAGGATTGCAATGAATGTCACAAAACAAAATGTGTATGAATTGTTGAATGGAAAACCGATTTGCTTTGCAAACTTTCACCCAGATCACAATTTAAAAATTTTTTTAAAATGGTCAAGATAGTTGAACCACTAACACTGAGGGAAGTTCATTCACTTGAATTTTATGATGATTTCATAAAAGTATTCAATGAACATTTACTATACATGCAGTCTGTACTACTCACAGAAAAATGAAACCCAGCTCTCCCTTCAGTGAATTATAGGCTAGTGGAGAAGACTAAAGATGTGGAAGTAGTAATTATAATACACTGTAAGCAGTGCTATGATAATAGCATTATAAGATGCTATGGAACATAATATATTGCCCATTTATTTTTTTGAGAGATGGTCAGGAAGAAAGAGTCATGCTTGATCTGGGCCTTAAAGAATAAACAGGAACTTGCAAGCTGGGTAAGGTAGGAAATGACATTCCATATGAGAGATGAGTAGTAGAGGAAATAACATCCCCAAAACTCTACTTCCCATAGGGGCTGACACAAGCAGTGTTGATGATCTGGTTTACTTCTCATTATAGGGCACTTGAATTGGCAGTAAAATATAAAACACATGTGGATACAGTTCTTGCTTACCGTCAGAAGTTTCTGGAGACATTTGGTAAACAGGAAACTAATAAACGATACTTACAATATGCAGAAGGTGTAAGTATTATGCAATATTTTATAACACTGTATGTTTTAGTATAAATATATACAATATTCATCTTAATAAGACAAACTTAGAATGATACATTCCATGATATCTAAAAGAATTACCGTTTGTTTTATGATGCTTGGGCCTTATTATTACTGTATGATCATAGTATTAAATTTTTTTCCTACAGTCTTACAACCATATTATGACTGACCGCAGCCTGTTTTCATAACATTCAATTTGTGTTAAGTTTGGGTGCTAATTGAAATTTACAGATAAATAATTTATAGATATCTGGGATAAAGGCTTCTAACTTTTGAGTTTTGACTTCCACCAGTTGTTCTTTCTCCTCTAGGGGAATTATACAATCACAGAGGGCTCTGACTAGAACCTGGATACTTTATGACTTTTTAGAATTCCAGGGAGCTGGGTTACACCTGATAGAGATTCCTAGCTTAGGTATACTTCATTGCCTAGAATTAAGAAGTCTAAATCTTTGCTCTTTAAGCTCCTACCAGAATCTCAGATTTTATCACTTCAGTTTGAAGAATGTTGTTCTAGTACCTGTCAGCCCACAAGAAGACCCAGAACAAGAGAATATGCCCCAGTGCTTAAAGCAGAACTGATGTTGGCCACCCACCCAGATCCTTCTAGGCTCATGCAGCAGAAATAGAGTTCAATTCTCTAGCCATATAGGTCCAAGAGGCTAGACTCCCAAGAGCTGTGATAATGAGACACGAGAGTTTGGTCCCAACTCTGTGAACCAGTTGTTTTCCTTAGCCTTTTATTTATTCATTCATTTAAAAAAAAAGAAAAAAAAAGATGCTTATATGAACCAGATATGACTTCTGTGTTCTTGGAGCATATAGACTATGTTGGACCACTCCCCTTGGGGCGGGTGGATTAGAAGAACTTTGAGGAGAGAAGAGGAAAATGTGCCTATAATTCCTGCTAAAGCCAACATTATCTACTTAGCATGTTTAGAATTCTGGGTGTCATGGTCTACATGTTTGTGCCTCGAAACAGTTGTGAATGGTGAGGCCTTTGGGGCCATTCTTAAATTTTAGTAAGACAACTTCCACCTCTGGATCTAGGATAATTACAAGTTATAGATTTCTTGGTAGAAAGGGGACATATTTTATAGAAGCTCTACAAACTTTCTGTTTTCATTAGGAACCTGGTTAGTATTTAAATGAATCTTCTGGTAGTATGAGGGTACTACTGGGACAGACTCTGAGGCTTTGTCCTGATTCATAGACTGTGACAGCAACCACCACTGCTAAAGTGCTAAATAATCCACAGAATACCAGTTTACCCAATTTTTTTAAGGCTTTGAAAATATATCCATACTTTATTGTATAATTTTTAATCATATTAATGCTAGTCTCCCTTCTCCTCATTGTCATCAATATTTCTTCAGTATTTTTATATTAGGTACTTTTGAGAAGATAGAAAATACAATCCTTACCCTCACAGGAGCTCTGGTAGCATAATGGCTAAAGTACTTGACTGCTAACCAGAAGGCTGGCGGTTCAAACCCACCAGCCACTCCTCGGAAGGAAGGTTGGGCAATCCTACTTCCGTAGTGATACTGCCTCGGAAACCCAAGGAGGGGTTGCTATGAGTCGGGGCCGACTCGACGGCACATAACAACAACAACAACAACCCTCACAGAAATTATAGATAGTACCACTTAATATTTTTCTTTTTTTTTTTTTTTTTTTACTATATATGTATTTAATTGTTACCAAAACGTGTTATCGTGTCACATTGTTACAATTACTCAGAAGAGTAGCAGAAATTTTCTAAGTGGAATAACCAAAACATCATAGGTTATTTTGATGCCCTATAGTACTCTGTTCTAGATTTCTACTTTTTATTCTTTGTAAATACAATTTGACAGTTAAATAGAAATCATAAAGCAGCATTTTAAAATGAAAAACATTTTTTACTTAAAAATTCCTACTACTGATTTAAAATTTAACCATAGGAAAATATCTTTTGGGGATATCTGTATTACTTGTTAGTCTTCTGATTTTATAATCACAATGTATCATTTGTACCTCTCTATCTTTGCCAAAATTGTAATTATATAAATTCTTTATTTTAGAACTAAGACTGGAATAGAATAAGATTATTTTAAAATGACATTGAGAAATTTATTGTAGATCTCTGCTCAATTTTTACAGACTCCCAGTACATAATATGTGAAAATTTGTAATTGCCTATACTCTTGGGTAAAAAGGAGGCATAGTGGTTAAAGCATTTGGCTGCTAACCAAAAGCTTGACCATTCAAACCCACCAACTGCTCCACAGGAGAAAGATGAAGCTGTCTGCTTCCATAAAGGTTTACAGCCTTGGAGACTCTGTGGGGCAGTTCTACTCTATCCTATAGGGTCATTCTGAGTCAGAATCAACTTTATGGCAGTGTGTTTGTTTTGTTTTGTTTTAATACTCTTGGGTGAATAGAACTTACTAAAGAAAGAAATAAGAAATTTCTTATTACTTCATATCTATGAGCCCTGAAATGTTATTTGGACATTTTTAGTATAAAATATGGAAATCTGTGATTCATACAAGGTCTTCTAAAAACCCCATTATTTGGAATCATTGTACCTGGCCTTCATTGATGTTCAGTAAATATTTTAAAAATACATTGCAAATCTGGCAAATAAAACCAAAGAATACACTCAATCTACTGAATACATATTCTGTGTAAGTAGAAGAGCCAGAAAATGTTTAAAACATTATGCTAGGAAAAAGAAAAAAAAAAATTGAATTATTGGGCAGAATTTTAGAAACTAAAGAATTTTTAAGAATATCCAGAAGTCAATTCTTTAGTTGATTCTTGGGATATAAAATAGTAAATATGGTCCTGGCCTTATGAAACTTATATTCAAATGGAGGAGACAGAATTAATTATACAGTTTGTTGCTTAATTTCTAATTGTGGTAAGTGCATTGAAAGAGGTATACACAGTGTATGAGACTTTATGAATGTGGACCTAACCTAGGATGGAGGAATCAGTACAGACTAAAACAAACCAAACTCACTGCTGTAGATTTGATTCAACTCATAGCAACCCCTCCTTGGGTTTCCAAGATGGTATCAATACAGAAGTAGATTGCCCAATCATCCTTCTGAAGAGTGGCTGTTGGGTTTGAACCACCAGCCATTTGGTTAGCACTCAAATGCCTTAGGCACTGCCCCACCAGAGCTCCCAGTAAAGACTAAGCAAAGCAAATTATATTTGAGCTGAGCTCTGAAGAGTGAATAGAAGAAACTGACCTGGGGTGAGGATCAACATGTTTCAGACACAAGGCAGACACTGAAGTGGAAGAGAGAAAGAGCTAATGAGAGATTGGGGGTTATGGGGCAAAGGAAGGATTTTGGATTTTATCTTAAGAGCAATGGGAAGCCATTGCAAGGAAGTAACATGATCAGTTCTCCCTTTTAAAATTCTGATTGTTAAAAATAAATGGAAAATTTTACATTACCACAAAATTTTCTTGAGTAGGATTTTGTCAGTTAAATGATGTGATCATAAGAGCAATGGATGAGATAATGAAAGAATGGGGAAGGGACCTGAGTGACTGCTCTGGGCCCTAGGTCAATAGTGGTTGGAATACTGTAGGGTCTTAAAATCATGTGAAGAGAATTGGCTTCATAATAAAGGCAATGAGAACAGTTGGAGGTTTGCACTCAAGAGAAAGACTTGAAAGGTAACTCCTGATGGGGAGGGTGATGACTAGTAACCAGGTAGGACATTACTATAATAGTTACACTAGGAGATGGAGAGGGAAGATGGAGAGAGTAAGACTAGTATAAGAAAAAACTGATCAGTAAAATCAAGAAAACATTGTGGTTGGGGTGGAAGCTGAGGTGATAAGGCAGACAAGGCAAAGCATTTGAGAAGGACTTGAATATTTCCAGTTTGGGGAACTGGTAGGTGAGGATGTCATTAATTTAGATAAGGAATGAATGAAAAAATATAAGTTCGGGACTTTTTGAGGTTGAAATCCTTGTGGATTATCCAGTGGAGGTATCTAGTAGGCAATTGGAATATAAATGTGAACAGCAGAGGATATTCACAAAGGAGAAACTAGGAACTAACCAACTAAATAAATTTATGTTCATGACCATCTCGGTATAGTTGAAGTTAATGTGAGTTGATAAGAGCTCCCAGAGAAAGCATAAGAAGGCTGTGGCTGGAACTCTGGTGAATACCAACAACTAAGAGGTTGTCCAGCAGAAAGATATTTGGGGGAAGGGTGGTGGACAGACTGAAAAGGACCATTTAGAAAGGAGAGCAGAACTAGACAACAATGTTATTATATATGAGGAATTTTGCAAACATCAGTAGTCAGCAAGGTCCAGGGAATGCTGCTGCCTTAGGACCATTTTCTTCCCTGTAGCATGCTCTTCCTCACTCTCTCCTCTTCTTCATGTCTTAATGTCATCTTCTCAAGGAGCGCTTCTTTGATCACCCTTTTTGATATATAATTCTAGCACTCACTATCCCCCTTCCTTGTTTCCAAAATGCTTACCACTCTGCCACAACATATACACACATATATATATTTATTATTTTTCATCCTGTCCATCTATCCACCTGTAGATCAATGTTTGCCATCACTGACAATGCAGTATTGTATATGCAAAAGGGTTCATCTTTGTTGTCTGTACCTCCCCTGTACCTCTCTGTCTTCCTCTTCTCAACTAGTGTTGATCACTCACATTTGGTACATTGCCCTTCCCTTCATCCAAATCAGTACTTATCTCTACCTATCTAGCAGTGTTCTCTCTCCTCCCTTCCTATCCCTTGTAACCAACAAAGTTAGTTTCGTTCCATATATAAACCTTTCCTTGACTTTTCGCAATAGTGAACTAATACATTTGTCCTTCTGTGATTCCTTATTTCATTCAGCATAATGTCCTCCAAGTTCATTCACATTATGCGGTGATTTGTAGATTCTACATTATTCTTTAGTGTTGTACAGTATTCCA